TAAGCTATTAGGTGGCTTTTGGTGGCCAAAAATGAAGAAACTGGGTTATATAATATATATATATATATATGTGTGAGCAGTGAGGAAGGTCAGGGAGTTTGTTCGTCGTCTTTTTTGTTTGTTTTTATGACGGAGCTGGTTTTGACTCGTAGACGAAACGAAAACCTCAAGAGAGATAGAGAGAGGACCACCTACTATTCGTGAGGCAAATATTAACTAACCAGAAATCTCGAGGTAATTTCATGCTCTCTCACCAGAAAAGGTAATTTCATGTTTCTTTTTAAGGGATTTTTCTCGTAAGACAGTCTTACCGACAGTATTAGTTAAATTATGATACGAATTTTCGTATCAAATATTCTCTTAGAGAGTGTGTTTATGACTGTTAAATTGTGTTAAAATCACATTATATTAAAAATATTAATAGTATTAGTTTATGACGGTTAAATTGTGCTAAAATCACATTATATTAAAAAAATATGTAAAATAAACATTTGACACAGATCTAGGCCTCGTTCATTTCACCGATTCAAGTTTTCAGTTCTAGATTTTTACAGTAAAAAGCTCTCAGAAAATATCACATTTAATTTTTTCTGTTACAGTGAAAAGTTCTCATAAAATATCACATATCAACTCGAATTAAAAACTCGAATCTTCAAAGTGAACGAGACCCTAATAATTTAAAATTAAGAACTATCAATAATTTTTTTATCCCATTTTATTAGAGAAACTCCTTTATTTTTTATACATATTTTATGATTTTTTCTGATTTGTCTACCGGTAACAGCTTTTAATACAGACTAGATAATTGAAAAGTAAATAATTATTCTAAAAAATTTATCACTAGTTTTTTTTTTTTTTTTTAGTTTTACCAGAAAACTCCCATTTATAAAAGCTAGCTTCTGTATAAATAAGGGTGAAGCAATGGTCAAACCAGCCATAGATTAGGATTGACATATCCATGGACTCCTTCATAAACCGTCCGATTAGTCTAATTTTTGTTTTTAAAATCATTAGTCTGATTATCTTTTTTTTTTTTTTTTTAAAAGAGTAACAGGGATAATCTCAGAATTTGGGTCATTTTTAATTACCCCCAAAACTATTAATTTAGAAACCCCAATTTAGCAAAAACAGTTTCAACAAAACTATTAATTTTGATCCTAGGCATACTCTAGCAGAAATCAATGCGATCTAACAACATCATAGCATTTCTTTTATTCTTGAATCTTAATTAATATTAGCATTACCAAGTGCTAACCACAAAGCTTTTTTTAAGGTTTTTTTTTTTTTTTTTGAGGTATCTTATGCATTATTTTAGTGCCGTATCCTTGAGCAAAATTTTGGCAATTTATCCCACTAAATGGGGAGACTCTTTTCTCTCTAGTAGGGTTATTCGTTTTCTCTTCCTTTATTTTGTAGTTTTATCATTTTTCTTAAAAAATAAAATAAACGTCCACTTAAAAATATTTGTTTCAATTAGATGAATTATCGTCCTATTATTTTTATAAAAAAAAAAACCTAAAAAAAGTACCTATTGGTTACTCGAATAAAGAATTACATACGCATGTTTTTTTTTCCTTGGAATAATTACTAATTAGATACTTATATTTCTTCCAAGCTTAAAAAACTGATACGCGTATTTTCAGCTAAAAAAATTTCAGATACGTGGTTGGCTGGCAAAATATAAAGTATTGGATACGTATTGTTTGCTTGTAAAAGACGACAGCAACAACAAAGTTACAACTTACACCAACTCAATTCCACAACAAAAACGACGTGGAAATCATGTTTAGGATTGTGTACTTTTATTAAAAAAGATAGAAATCTTTACAGCAGGAAAAAAAAGTAAAAAAAAAAAAAAAAAAAAAGGAAAGGAACGGGAAAAAAAAAAAAGTTGTTTGCCGTTTGCCCATTTTGTTAGCCGTTTGTACCAAAAATGTATACAAAATTAATGGGCTGACAAAGATTTGAGGGTCTATAACAACATGATAACTTATAAAATAAATAATAATTTAAAAGAGAGAAATATTGAATATTATTCTTTAAAATGTATGGGTCTTGATTCTTGTTTCTTACTCTTAAATTTTGATTAATATCTTTTTTTATTAATATAATTATTTGTTTAAAAGATATTAATCAAAAGTGAGATGTAAAAATCTAAGTCATACATTCTAAGAAGTATTTCATTTTCTCTAAATAAAATTTTATAAAAAAAAATGCACAATACCAAATTCAAGGTTTTTAAAAACAAAAAAAAAAAGCAAATTTTACTAAATTAAAAGGTATGTCTTTACAAATTTCACGTGAGATAACAAACAAAATCTCAATAGATCAGCAATAATTCAAATTTAAAGACAAAGCAAAATACGCTAATTATTCTCCTATAGAGGACAAAAGAGACACTAAACCTCTAAGTTCATACATCAGCACAGAAAAATTAGAGATCATAGAAATTCTCCCAAAAGCGAAAAAGGTTGAACTATTGTTAGAAAGATATAGCCAATAAGGTTAAAAGGTTGAATAATAATTTAAAAAAAAAAGTTGAAAGAAAGATTGGGAAAAAAAAAAAGTTGAATGATAAATGACATTTTTGCTCTGTCTTGAAAAGTTAGTAAAGAAAATGTGGAAAGGGGAAAAATGAACAAATTTTCTATTATTGTTTTTCCCCATTTTCTATTCTAACAACCCACCTCATTGTAACAAGCCGGCCATAGTGGAAGTGTCAAACGCATTTTATTAAAACGTTTTCTGCATAAAGTTCATAAGAAGTTTCTTCTTGGTGGTTTAATTTGGAGGAGAACTTCCTTTCCAACAACTTTATGGGCGCGTTTGGAACCCATTTTAAAATAATTTTATTTTCTGTATAAAAATAAAAATAAAAACGTTTTCATTTTCAGGCATGAATCATTTCTGAAAATGTGTTTGATAGTTTTATTCAGATATTATTTTTAGTTTAAGAAAAAAACTGAAACTGCGTTTGGTTTTACATTTTTTAAAACATGTAATAATATTTAAAATAATAATATATTAAATATGTAATAATTGAAATCCCAAATAAAAACACTAATAATTAATATAATAATTTAAATTATATTACAAATAAATAGTAAATAATTTAAAATAAGATAACTTAGTGAATGATTAGTAAAAAAAAAATTTACTTAGTGAATAATCTTAGCCTATATTACTGTCGTATATACGAATCTAACATTTGATCAGCTAGATGATCCCTAAAATTAACCATGTGATTACGTTGTCGCCGACTCCCTATTTCGAATGTTTCTGCTTCTTATGCGTCCATACCTTTATGTTGTCCTTGTTACCCTTCTTGTTCTCCCTCTATATCTTCCAAGGGCAAATCGACATCATATTGTCTAAATAGATGATCATCTCGCGCGTGCATCTTAATTAAATTATGGATCACACAACAAGCAATTGATATAAGTGATTGTCTTGGTATCCAATAATTGGTCATAAGCTTAAGAATTTTAAATCTTACTTTCAAGACCCTAAAGCACCTCTCTATGTAATTACACAGTGAATAGTAATAATAATTGAATAACTATCGTAGTCCCGTTGGTTGACCACCGTTTCTAAACTGTTGAATATGGTACCTCTGACCACGAAATGGTGCCAAAAAGTCTTGCATGTTGTTGTAACCGATTTCACAACGTAATATTTTGGGATGAGTGGCACCAAGAACTGGTTCGTTAGATCTCTTATAGTCTCAGTTAACATTCTATCAGCAGCTGAGCCTTCTCATCCGGTATTGACGTAAGTGAATAGCATACCGAAACTACACGCCGCCATTACATTTTGAGTACGCGAATGTCTTATTCCTCTATAGATTGTCTGTTGATGTGCAGGTGGGACAACCATTATGTGCATACCGTTTATTGCACCAATACAATCCTATTAAAATACATAAGGCGTACGTTATGATTAATTTAAAATTATTTATCATATCCTTAGTTTATGAGCAGAGTCAGATTGTACCTTAAACTATGGCCAATACTTAGGGTTGTGTCGAATCTCTGGGGAGACGATGTTCATATTTGGTGGTTTTATAACTACAGGTGCTAACCTACACAATGCGGTAAGCACATTATCAAAATGCTAGTGTACCGTCTCTCCAAAATGAACAAATATATCTTGTATCTCTCTATTGCGGTCTGAGTGAGCAATCGTTCTTAAGAACATCATTAGTGATTCTTCTGTTGATATACTTGAAGAAGGCAGTAAATTACGGTCTTGAAGAAAGACATGGATGGAGCTACTCTAGTCTAGTGGGGACTTAAGCCCCACTCAATTTATTATTATTTTTATTTACGCGTAGCCCTTACTAAACATGAAAATTTTAATCTTATAATTGTTCTTATTATTAACCCCACGCACAAAAATTTCTCGCTCTGTCACTGATATTGCTAACTGTTTATCTACCATATATGCTTTAAAGAAACAAACAAATCACTTCAAAAATTTTGTTTAAAAGAAAAACAATTATTTTCTGCTAGTTGTTGTTATCAATTTTTAGTTTTTAGTTTTAGTTTCATTTTTTGTGTAATCTATTTTCCAGACGCAGGGAGGAGCCAGCACCCCTAGTGGCCCCCTAAAATCTATTTTCTCTTTTATTTTTTTCCCTTCATTTTGTCCCCCTAAAATCTTAAAACTTTAAATTTTGTTCAAATGCTTTCAAAATTTCATTTTACAACCTTTGTTTTTACTTTTTATCATACCATATTGTTTTTGTGCTCAAAGCTAATATTTATATATATAAGTGATTTTCCGATTTATTACACTATTAATTTAGTTAAGACCCTTTCTTAACAAATTTTGTGGCTTAATCCTTGTCCTTACACTTTTTTGTCATACTATTTAACTTTTATTTATTTGAACATAATGAAGGGTGACCAACCAAATCTAATGTCATAAACTAGTAATATGTTTCTCGTAAGAGAGAGAGAGAGAAAAAAGAAAAACTAGTAATATGATGAATATCACGTCTCTCTCTCTCTCTCTCTCTCTCTCTTTTTAGGAAAATGATTGGTATGCCTTCTATCTTTTTCTTTCCTCCAAATATTAAGTTGCATGTTTTTATTTTTTTCCTATAATTTTATTGCTCTCGATAGTATAAAATTAGGACGTTTACTTGTTAATAAACTTATATTCAAGATGAAGGAAAGCCTATTTAGCATTTTATTTTTCAAAGTCAAGGACCTCAAGGCCATTAAAAAAAAACAAAAAATAAAAAACAAACAAACTCTAAGACTAAAAGCTCATCCAAAAAGATAAACACAACACCGAGTAAACAAGAAGATAAAGGCATGAGAAGAAGAGTAATTCTGAAGGAGAGTGATATACATACATACATACTTTTACACAAATAAGGCATGAGAAGAAGAGTAATTCTGAAGGAGAGTGATATACATACATACATTTACACAAATAAATATACATATATATATATACATGTATTTTAGTCAATTTTTTCTCCAGTAGCATTGCATGTGCCATACATAAACTTGCTATTATCAAAATAAATATACATATATATATATATATATACACATGTATTTTAGTCAATTTTTTCTCCACTAGCATTGCATGTGCCATACGTAAATTTGCTATTATCAAAATAATTTAACAGATCTGACAACCAAAATCGATATAAACAATTAGGACTACGCGTGCCTGAACAAATCATATGAGATTGTTATCAATCAAATAATATAATTATAAATAGTTCTCTTATGTATCACCTCTAGATAATATAAACTAATTTATTAAAAGTCAATACATTGTTAAAAATACCTTTACTTTTAAAAAAGGTTGAGTAAGCTTCGGAAAGAAAAATTGTCGATAGACATTAGACTTGTCAAATACATGTTGTTACTATACCTATTGATTGGGACAAAATGATGCTATCCAAATATGTATCATGTAAAAGGCTTCTTTTTTTTTAATAAAAAAAGAAAAACTTTGTTTTGGGTTTAAATTGAAAAGTAATTCTTAAATGTGAAAAATAATGATATTTCTTCATACTCGTATTGCATTTGTGATGATATAAATTGTTGAGCTATAAGCAGTTTCCCTAAGGGCGTGTTGCAACATTTATGTTAAGCAGTTTGAAAGTAATGGGAAGTAATCAATGTTATGAAAAGTTCAAAGTATTATGGCCGTTTAGCCGTTTAGTTCGCTGATTTTAGTTTTTTATTCGAGTTGAGATATGACTTTATGTGAGAGTTTTTTATTGTAATAAAAAACTATATGTGATTATTTATGAGAGTTTTTTATTGTAACAAAACTTGAATTTTAAACTCGAATTATTGTTTTTAATATCTAGTTGTTTCAGTATAATCAATCTTACTTGAAAGTCAAATTGAATATGCACATAATAATAATAATAATAATAATAATAATAATAATAATAATAATAATAATGTATCGAATTATATTTGCAAGAAAATAATATAAAGAAAGGACTCTCAGCTAGTAATTTTGGAACTTGTCTATAGAAAGAATTTTTAAGTGCCATGTTTTACAAGATGTATACTTGGGTACTTCTTTTTTTTTTTTTTTTTTTAGGGATGCTTGGATACCAATTAAATGTTTATCCTCTTTTTTCTTTCTTTCTTTCTTTCTTTCTTTTCCTTTTTGCCAATTAAATTCTGGCCATTACTTATTCAAGGACTAGTAACTCTTTGTCCAAAATTATAAAATTTTCTTTGTGTCTTTCTTGACATGGAACTACTGCATTTATTGGTTTGTTGTTGTTGTTGTTGTTGTTGTCTCTCTTGACATAATGTTTGTATTTTATCAAACGATCAACGTTAACATGTAAAAAAATAAAAAATAAAAAGCAAGAGTATTAAACTCAGATTATAAATAAAAGAGAAGGAATTATAATTGAAATCGTTAATTGCCTTTTTAATGTTTATCTATCAATTAAATAGTGTAATAAGAAATAATTCAATTCAATTCATGGTGTCCATAAAACTTTAGATAATCAAATAATCGTTGGCTGACGACATATTGGGTATGTAAGTAAATTTGGCGTTCATACATCTTTGACCCGGAATTAATCCCATCAGGGTGTAAAACTAATTCATACATCTTTGACCCGGAATTAATCCCATCAGGGTGTAAAACCAAATATCATTTCTTATATTACGTGAGCCCTATTAAATTTTTATTACTGATTTTATGAGGAAACACCAGATTAAATAGAAAGAGAGAATCACTCATCATTTTATCTTTATGTTAAGTAAATGCACCTTAAAGGTGTAACGAGATTAGGCACTAACTTGCATGTTTTGGCATAATTAACGTTGTTATGCCTAATCTTAATGGCCCGCGCAAATTAATCTTGCTGGTTTTTGTTTTGTTTTGTTTTTTTGTTTTTTTTTTTCCTTGCTGATTTGCCCTTGAAAAGGACTTTTCTGGTCCAGCAATGGCCTAAAATTTCTTTGTCAACCTTCATTTGGTGACTTTTGGTGGCCTAAGCTAAACCATCCAACCAAACCAACTTCCTTTGTAGGCCTAATAATTCTAGAAATTAAAATTTTTCTTCTTCTCAACCCTTATTACTAGTCTCTTTCAAACACTAGAACTGACCTTTCCAACGTTTCTAGATTGATGCAACTTCCTTGGTTCCCATTCTTTCCATCAACTCTTATGATGACTCGGCCATCGGCCAACGACTTATAATTACTGATTTTTGAAAAATATTCCCTTAAAATACGAAATTTTTTCTTATTAGCCAATGCAAATCTTATCAAGCCATTATTAGAATTTACATGGCCGTCAAGAGAAATAAAGAAAGGTGGAAAAGACTTGCAACTCTGAAAAAAAAAAAAAAAAAAAAAAAAAAAAAAAAAAAAAAAAACTTTACCATACGTTTATTTATAGATCCGAACAACTAATTAAATTATTTTATTACAATTTTTTCTCTCATAAAATTTAAATTTCCGTTCAAACTATTCTATTTAAACCTGTGAACCAAACAGGTTACGGGCCTTTAATTTACTCAAAATATCAATTTAATTTCAACTCATCCCGTCTTTTATAAAATGAAGTGTAGATAAAAAAACGGAAATAATAAAAAATAGACCAATATGAAAAGCTTAAGAAAGTATATAGGCCAACTTTTAGTTATAGAAATTAATAGACCATAACTTATCAAGTTATGGTTCATAGCCAGACAAATTATGGACAAAAATAGACAATAACTTGTCAAGTTATAGTTCATAATCATACAAATTATGAACAAAAATAATAATTTAGCCTATTTATTAACTTATGTAAACTATTGGTCTATTAATTTTAATTCATCTCAAATATTGACATATTTTCCTCTTTCTCCCATAAAAAAATTCCACAAACATGACGTAGTTCTAGATTATCAGATCATATTAAAATCATGTCAACTATAAAAGATGTAGCAGTTTACGAAATCTGACGATAAAGACAAACAGAGAGATAAAAACTGCTTCAAAATAGATCTTTCTTTGCTTATCCTATCGTGCCTAAACTTTGGACGTTATAAAATAGAAATATTCAATAATGCATGTCGCAAGGGAGTACAAACATCCATGAAATGTCAACAGATGTGCAAATACTCAATTCCTCTCTTTTTTTTTTTCCAGAATATGTCGGGCTTTTGAATTTATACGTGTAAAATGGAAAGGAACATTTATGAGCTCTGAATTTGTGAGCCGACTAAAGATTTTGGCCGGAGGAGAAATACCATTAAATGCGAACATGGATCCCACAGTCACCTAGTTGTCATGTTTCTAGATGTCAAACTTAAATTTCTTAAAATTTTTTTTAAAACTAGTCAATTCAATCAAACCATCTAATTAATTTTGAACTAAATTTCATGAAAAATCTTAAATTCAAGTCTTTTTAAAATCAATTACTTAAATTACCATTAAAACTTAAAATACTCAAAACTAAAGGTGTTATCTATAACCTCAATTCTCTTTTAACATAGGTATATATACTTTTTAAATATACATGCTTGGAATCCTTGAATCATATATACATATACATGATTTTATTTAAACGATTTTATTTAAACGGCCAAAGGACATCTCTGGGCCTACACGTAGACAATGTACATACATACATGTACATATACATGAATGCACATCATGTATATGCTTTTTTTATACAGATGCCATTTCAACAATCGGATTGGTGAACCCAAATGGAAGCTACGCTATGAGTTTCGGCAAACCCATTATAGGTCTTACCTGATTAATAGGTTATGCAGCATTGCCTTACAGTAGTTTGCCTGAAACTGAACTAATCTTTCGAATAGAATCGAGTCAAATCATTTCCGTTCTATTAACTTGCTCTGAAATTTTGTTTATAGACATTCCATATGAAGGGTATGAAGTGATCACCATTTTGATTTAAACAATAATAAAAAATAGTGAAAAAAAAGCGCACTACTTCGCTTTTTTTGCCCCACAAAGAGGACAAAGATAACTTCCTGGTTTTTCTGAGTCATTACCAGTGACCTCTGGCTCTCTTTTTTACACGCCAAACCGGTCTAGTTAACGCTTACCTGATTATGCTTCAAATATGAATACAAATTCACATCATGCAAGACCCTTCTTGAGGACCGCCAAGTTGAAGCGGAAATAAAAAGATTAGATTTATCAAAAACAATATAGACGTTTACAAAATTCCATCTTTACCAAAATTACGAGCAATCTCGTATTGATCTAACTTATTAGGACATCTTTCTCCTTCCTTTGAACTCGTCAATTAATTTAAACCTCATCGTTAGGATTGAAAGAATATTACAGCAAAATGTAATGACATCTGCAAAATCTCCAGATATAATCTTGAATATTTTCTCAAAATGGCAAAGACTCTTGCTACCTAATTCTTTTTGTTTTTCTTTCTTCCCTTTACTTGCTTCTCTAAACTTCTAAGCCTCTGACTGACAACTGCAGATGAAGATATTTTTCGGTCTGTAAGCTTGAATGATTGAGCAGGTGATGAGGTATTCTCCTGTGTCACTGTCGTACGTTGTTTCAATGCGGAAAACAATGATTTAAAGCTAGGCTGTTGAGTGGTACTAGGCTGCGTAACTGGTATTTCAGGGATTCCCAGAAACTTCTTTACCTGAGGTTTCTTTAGCGCTACGAAAAATTACACAAACAGAAACGTGTAAGATTGAGTGATGATTATCGTTGAAGTTTGATACTTTAGAATCTTTCCTTTGCTGTGATAAAGTATGGATCAATGAGAACTCCCCCCACTTAGGGGAAAGAAAACAAAGAAGATGACGGTCTCATTGCTCGAAAATATGGATTTGAAAAGACTTACCAAGTCCATACACGAGAGAAAACAAATTGGATGTTATCCAGTAACAAAATATAGCCTGCATTTAGAATTAGCAGTGACGATCAAGTTCATTCAGAAGAAAATGAAGAGAGAGAGAGAGAGGTGTGGCATAAACAAAAATGTAGTAGAAGACCATCGTGAGAACCTACAAGACAAATATGGAGAAACAAATGTTTTACACTCATAGCATCTTTGTATTGCCAATTTCTCTAGCCAAGGAATGATCACATGCCTTTTGGGCTTGTACAAAATTTTCCTTTCATTCATTAAAAAAAAAAAATGAAATAGAATCAAATCGGGAGAAATTTGAGGGCACTAATGATAGTCATACAATTGTTCTACAACTAAAACAAATAGAATACTTTGATATAAAATGCTACAAAACCAATTTACGGGAAACAATAATCCACAGACCAATTCTTTATTTCTGACATTGATATTTTATAAGTAGAAGAGCATAAACAACCTTACCGGTTAATGATGATCCAAGGGAAAACACACACACACAGACAAAAGGCAAAATTACCTTCGGAAAACTCATGGTGAATGGAACTGTGAGAACTGCAATGCCCCTTGAAACGTTTTTCATGGTTGCAGCAACAGGATTTCCTTCCAATCCTTCTTGCATATTGCACTGAGAAAACATGATTTAGTTAATTCTAAAATATACCTAATATTATTTTTAGTTCCACGCAAGTCTGAAACACCTTGTGAAGTAATGTCATCCTTAAAACGTAATAGAAACATCACCATCTTCAAATATCTCATCTCAAAAGCCCATCCCAATCCAAACTAGGGGAAATAAAATATACTTTTTTAAATGAGAAAAGGAAAAAGATCCTATAAGGCCACCCGCAGGACCCTTTGGAGTAGGTACTACAAGAACAAAATCATTGATAAAAATGGAGACATTTACCTCTACTGTTATTAAAAATGTCAAAGCTGTCAAAACTGGAAAAATGTATAAAGCATCCGGTGTCGTGAGATCAACGAACCAGTAGGCTCCACCAGTTTTGAAGGATGGCACTTTTTCTGCCATATTTGATACCTGTAGAAGAAAGATCAGAACCATATCCAAAGACCAACCTAAAATCATTTTATCATGGGAATGACATTGAAGGAGCAAGATATATCTTACCGCAAGGAAGAAACTAATGAAGATAGGACCTTGAATGAAGAGTCCCTTGAGTGGAGTAAAGGGAGTAACACCATACCTACATTGCCCAAATCATTTAGTCTGTTATGTTATGACAAACAAAGCACAAAATTTCTCTATGGTTAAATCTAATTAACTTCCTAGGTTAAATTCCACTTCAGAACAGAAGTCTATTTTTTTCAGGCTCTGAGGAAAAAAAGTTACTTACTCCTTAAAAAGATCCGACATTTGCCTTTGACCTTCAATCTGATTTACAGCCTGAAAAGGGGAAAGAATGAATCTTAACGTGTCCAAGAGAATTTCTGAAAAAACCCCAGATGAGGAGACCAAACCACAATAGTGGTCAAAAGCACACGCATAATAAGCCATGTCTATATCAGCACACAGAGACCATTGTTGCAAAAGGTTCCTGTTATTTAAAGCATGTAATAATGGAGTTATTGATAGGTGAGTGGCATTTAGTAAGACTGTAAGAGAGGTTGTTATTTTAGGCCAGGCTAGCTCTTTTACATTTCTAAAAAAAATATGTTGCCTAAGAGTTGTTGGTAGGTGTAGAAAAAGATATACTCAAGCACAATATGTAGCCATATCAATCACTTATAGCATTTGTCACTGAGTGAGTAAGGGATATGAAAGCATAATTACTAAGCAAGCACCATACCCCTTCATCTATCTGCCTCTTAATCTCCTCTAAGCGAGGCCTCATGAGCTGCAACACCCACACGTAAAACAATAAATCAGATGACCATATACCAAATAAGAGAACATAAGAAAGGGAAATATAATGAAGGTAGCTATGCAGTTAGGCATATAAAAAAAAATATAAACAAACATGGTGCATGAAGACTTTGGTTTGTCATAATCCAACGTCGAGCATGAAAAATTCAACCAAAGAGATATTAATTGTTCTCACTTGAAGCAAGTAACCAACTCTATGATCTAAGAGTTATTTACCATAACAACCAAATCAATAATAATTAGCTACTAATATGGATCATGCTTGATGAGCCTGTGACTCAGATATGCAAGATTGCATGGACTACAAAAGATTCTGCAAAGCATATGTCGAGAGCAAGAGGAGGATTGCCAACAAGGTGACTTGAACCCCGAGAAAAGAAACAATATAGCACCATACAACTCAGAATTTACATCAACAAAGTACGAAGCATATAAGATATCAACAATCAAATTAGGTAGTGGAAGTGAACATCGTTTACAAAAGGCAGCAAGAAATAAATAAACTTACAGAAAGCTTTGAGGTAGATTTAAGTTGATTTATTAGAAGTGGAACTGTGGACGTTCGAATCAAAAGAGTTGTTAAAGCTATTGCAAGCCACCTGAAAATAATCAAAACAAATATAAATTCTTTCATCACCAATACAAAAGGATGCCCATCACTAGCATTAAAGTTTTGACGCCAATAAATATTAAAACTAGAAGAACAATTAAATATTGCATCTATGAAATCTATCACCCAATACTTCCTCTTGGCAAAAATTTAAGACCTTGAACTCCAACAACAACAAAAAAAATAAAAATAAAAATAAAAAAAAAGCTCATTGCTAGTACATCATTCCAACTCCACAATTCTGCTTTTCCTTTTCTCAGTCGCTAACAAGTGAACTGAAGCCGCTTTGAAAAATTCCTGACTGGGAGACAGTAGACACCATTGTTTCCAAATGCCGTACATTTTTTCCATTTGGTTTGAACTTATTACTAGTACATAATGGGCAGCGAACAATTGCTTTTATCAAGAAACCCCAATTGACGACTTATCCAATCTGAGTCTTTGACTATCTCGACATCATCAAACAAAGATATTTAAACTCGATCAAATGCACAAAGTTCACCTACGCTACTCTCTCTCAGAAAGAGCTAATCAGGACTTCAACAAATGTTCTAAAGCAATCTCAATGCTCTTTTAATTTTCCCAATATTACTCTTTTGCAACCGAACAAACAACAGACAATTTAGAAAAAATAAAAATAAAAAAAGAAAAGAGCAAACAGCTCTCACCAATCGACGCCCACAAAAGTATGAACCCCCTCGATGAGATACTGCAACAACTTAACAGGCAAGAAAGAATCCGCAGCAGCAATGGCAACTTCGTTCACCTGAGGCACCTGCGAAGCCACCGCTTGCACGGTCGAATCACTGATCACCTCCGCAACATCGCTCATAATCCCAAACTTATCCGAATCTTCGCCTATCGTCGTTGACATGTAACGGCAGAAAGCGAAACTGGAGTTGCTCGGGGAAGCCAAAGCGCTCGAGAACCTCCTATCTTGAGAAAATCCGAGCCCTAATTTACCAACTTCATTACCGAAAAGCCTCTTTTGGAGAAGACTATTCCAATTCTGCGAAGAAACGCTTTCGGAAACCGGATTTTGCTTCCGATCGTCGTCGTGGACAAGGTGACCGACTGATGGGTGGCACTGCCGGGCCGTGATCGTCGCTCTTGTCGAGAGGCTCCGCCGATACGCCATTTCTGCTAGGGAAAGTTCAAGCTTTAATCAAATTAAAGATTAAAGATTTGATTTTGGAGAAAAGCTTAAACCCTATCAAAACCCTAGCACTTCCGATTCGAAATCTCGATCGCCATAGTTGTAGGAGAAAGTAATGGTTCGAGAAATTGATTACCTTGGTCTTGAAGCTGAGAGAGACAGTTGAAAGTACTTTGGAAATGAATTCTAGCACTTCAAGTTTTCAACTTTCTGTAAAGCCTGTGTTGGACGACGACGGAGTGGCTGCTGTTGGGCTAGGGCTGCCTGATAGTTGTTTGGGCTACTTGTTTAACTCATGGGTCACGGGCTGAAAGCGCCCGGCCCGAGTACAATGCCCGTTAATTACATATTCGTCCGTTATGCATAAATGCAAAAAAGAATATTGTGATATTTTTATATAAGTCTCTAAATAACTCTAATGATATTTTTATTCTTTATTAATCACTCATAAACACCCATATGAAAAGAGTATATTTAAAATAATATTATTTTAATAATTATAAAATAGACAGATTAATAATATTATTAAATTAAAGACATATTCCAAATATGGGGTATAAAAGTTATAATTTTGTATAAATACTTCATTCTGTAAAGGATAAAGAGGTTTTTCAAGTAAATGGCATATTTTTTTATTAACAAAAAAAATGGCGTATTTTTTTAGGATTAAATAATAGATTTTAAAATTCGTAGCAAAAAATAACGTATTTTAATAAGGAAAAAAACGAGAAATATCACTCAAAATGGTAAAAAATATTATTTATGTAACTCCACTGTAAAATAAACAATTATTGTACAATTAATAAAGAGATAACAAAATGTCATAATGACATGATTTACATAAAATCATGACAAATCATGTATTTTTTTCTTTTAAGAATAACATATTTAGTAAATAGTTTATTTACTTGATGCAAATAAATTATTTACTGATAACTAAATTATTTACGCCTAATATTTATCAGTAAATAAATTATTTACTCTTAATAAATAAATATATGCCAATATACATGTTATTTATTTCAATTGTTTCAAATAAAATATACTATTTAATTAAAAAAACTATATTGTATCAGTAAATATGCTAGGTATTTCAGTTGATTTAAAACTATACTATTTAATTAAAAAAACATTATTGTTGTGTAGGATAGTGGTCTAAATTTAGTGAGCTTTAATAATATTATGCGAGTTTCTTAAGATCTAAATATCACAATTTTTATACCAAATATGATAATTTTGTAGATTTCTATTTTTAAGATTATTACATACCAAACGTCTTCCAATGAAATATGAATATCTTGTAGTTGTTGAGGTGTAAGAATTGACAATTTCTTTTTTCATTATTGTCTAGAGAAAAATGCATGGTTTTGTGGAGGGTTATTTTTTTTTATGTAATTCTAAATAATTAAATGCCTAAATAGCCTTTTATTTTCTCTATATTAATTGTCACGACTCCAAATGTGGGTTGGTAACGTGGAGGCTTATTTAGAAATAAAACACGGATTATGAAAGTAATTAAGCTAAAGTCAAAGTTAAAGATAATATATATATATAAGAATTTCTAAACAAATCCCACAATTTTAAGGAAATTGAGTTTTAAGAAAAGAGTGAGGCGGACTTTACAAAAAACCAATCACGGTCAAATCATTTCAAAAGTCAGCCTCCGGCATCCATGGGATTTACACATTGTGCATACATAAATAAATACAAACAAGTAAATTGCTGACATTAACCACAGTCTAGTAAAATTTAAGGTTTACATCCATAATTTATACATGCCTTAGTACACGTGGCAATGAGAGAAGTAAATTACAACTTCTTCACTTCTTGAGATTGGCTCACCTCACCAGAAATCACCATATATTCAACGCTACTTCTAGCGTCGCCTAGGAGGGGTTTAAATACATTTAAAATAGAAGAAAAGTGAGCGAAATGTCCAATAGAATATAATTTTATAAATCTGAATAAATAAATAGAAGTACAGGGTTCGAACATGTCATTCGGAACCAAACATCTTTTTTCTGAAAGGAAAATAAACTTAAATTTCTGGTTTCAAGCATCAACAAGTAATTTATAAGCTTGGATAAATTACGTACAACCATTGCAAGGCCAATCACCACCGTAGTGGCCCATACGGGTTTCGGATCATGTCCCCAAGGATACGATCTCCATATCCTGATCTCTAGACCATCAGTATTGTTACCATTTCTTAAAACATCTTATTTTAAGAAAAATATCTATTAAACCTTAATTCAGTTCCTTATGAATTCAATAGCATAAATCATGCTATTTCTTCAAAATATTTTTCTTTATAAAACATGTTTTGTCTTAAAAATATTTTCATAGGCCAAAACACTTTAAAACAAGACTAACAAGGATATGGACAAGGATATCCTACCTCTCGGATGTCAATTCTACGGATAACTTCACGTAGTCCAAGCTCCACTTGTCTTTGAACCTCAAAGTCCAATCGTGCCGCTAGCTTCGTCATAAAAAATAATGGTTTAGAGTTTAAACCTCACCTCTAAATAATCTAGCTTAATTATGTACAATTGTATCATACTAGTATGCCTTGACTCAAAATCAAAGTTCATAAACAACTTATTGATTCAAATCTTGATTCTTTGAGAATTTGAACTCAACCAAGAGAAATGGAATGGAAACAGGGATTGATGTGCCTAATCCACTCACTTTGAGTTCTCAAATGAAGTTAAGTTGGATCTCCATTGAATTTCGGGATCAAAACGGGGTTTTTAAATATTTCTAGGTCAGATTTAGTGTGCACCTGTCGATCAGTGACAGAAGAGTGTAACTCCACCGGTCGGCCAGTGGAGTGGTGACCGGTCGACCGGTGGGGTTCTGTCAGGCCGAGAAAAATGGTCGAATCGCGAAGGAAATCGCCAAAACCTGTAATTCTGGGTTCGATTTCAAGATATTTTCAAGGAAAATCAACATAATCAGGTTCCAATCACTGAATCAAGTTCAAGGAATAAAAAACTCCCAAATTTCATCATGATTTCATCAAAGATCCATTCAAAATCAAACTTAAATCAAAACTCATCAAAACTCAAATCAAGAACCATATCACTTAGAGAAAATCCGAATTCAAGAGTAGATTTTTAAATGATTTACCTTGATCTTTCCGTTTGGGAAGGAAACTTATTGAAAATCCTCTCTGATTTAAATCCGGTTCAAAAGCTCCTCTTGAGAGAGTAAAGCTGAGAGAGAGAGAGAGAGAGAGAGAGGTAGCGAGAGAGAGAAGGAGACTTTGAGTTCTCAAATGAAGTTAAGTTGGATCTCCATTGAATTTCGGGATCAAAACGGGGTTTTTAAATATTTCTAGGTCAGATTTAGTGTGCACCTGTCGATCGGTGACAGAAGAGTGTAACTCCACCGGTCGGCCAGTGGAGTGGTGACCGGTCGACCGGTGGGGTTCTGTCAGGCCGAGAAAAATGGTCGAATTGCGAAGGAAATCGCCAAAACCTGTAATTCTGGGTTCGATTTCGAGATATTTTCAAGGAAAATCAACATAATCAGGTTCCAATCACTGAATCAAGTTCAAGGAATAAAAAACTCCCAAATTTCATCATGATTTCATCAAAGATCCATTCAAAATCAAACTTAAATCAAAACTCATCAAAACTCAAATCAAGAACCATATCACTTAGAGAAAATCCGAATTCAAGAGTAGATTTTTAAATGATTTACCTTGATCTTTCCGTTTGGAAAGGAAACTTATTGAAAATCCTCTTTGATTTAAATCCGGTTCAAAAGCTCCTCTTGAGAGAGTAAAGCTTAGAGAGAGAGAGAGAGAGAGAGAGAGAGAGAGAGAGAGGTAGCGAGAGAGAGAAGGAGACGAGAGAGAGAGACGAGAGGAAGAGAGAGTTGAGAGGAAGAGAGTGAGGGTCACAAGAGAAAAGAGAGAGAAAATGAGAGAAATAGAGAAAGAAAATAAAATATGAGGAAAAGAATAAGATAATATTAAAAGATAGTTAAAAGAAAAGGATGGAAGTATGTATTTCCGTATACTTTCGGGGTAGAATTGTAAATACTGAAAAAAAATTAAAACTTCTTGATTAATTAAGAAAATTAAATTAAACACACTAATAAATCACAATTAACATAATTAAATATGTTTAATTTTTCAGGTTGTTACATTCATTTAATGTATAATTATTTATTTTTAATTTGAGTAACATAAATAATATTTTTACCATCTATTTATAACTTTTTTTCTTCTTTATACTGTAATTTATATAGGCCTACTAAACTCACATTATTAATTACGCATTATTTGATAGGAAATGAAATCATTATTCACTTTCCCTTTTATTTTATTTTGACGTAAACTCGTCCTTAATAAAAGGGTTCCGAGAAAGAGAAGTTTTTGTGAACGCTTTGCCAAATTTTTACACTTAATATAATAAGGGAAAGAATATATGCTGACTATGCTAATATCACGAAAACATTAAAAACAAAATATTTATAATGAATTTGCATTCCCATGAATCATGCGATTTCCTTTATTAATGTAGTTTCCTTGTTGCTTAAGAAGAGGTGGTGTAAGGCAGAGCATTTGCTGCGACCGATGATGCACCGTGCAAAGGAAGATCCAACCGTGATGGCATTCGCGCCTGAGAAGATCACGCATCGATGGTTCCTGGCAGCGAGTGTGGAGCTTGTAGGAAGCAATAGTGAGAACAAAGGGTGGTGGATATTTGATGTAAGACGGTGGTGGGAGGAGGGAGGAGAGAGAGACGATTCAAAAACCCCAGTGGTATACCAATTTACACTACACACTTCTATTCATAAAATAAAAAATATATATAAAAAAGTGGAATTTGTTTGGTGTTGTTCATTTCGCTTATTCGAATTTAGAATTTGAGTTTTGCTACAGTAAAAAGCTCTCATAAACAATCATATCTAACTTTTTTATTACAGTAAAAAACTATCACATAAAGTCACATCTCAATTCGAATCATCGAACTAAACTGACAATTTATAAATTATCAATTTACTTTGAGGGTATTTTTGTAATCTATGTATTATGTTTTTGATTAATGTTTGACTAGATCTATTCTAAAGGGGTAGAAATAGAAGGGGTAATGTTCAAGATTAATAATAATTTGTTGTGCAAGGGTAGTTATTTTTAGTTTAAGGGTGGTAAGTATGACGTATAGCCTAATTTTCCATGCACAGAAAGTTTGACAAAAAAAATAAAAAATAAAAAAAATCTTCACATTCATTTTAAAAGCAGATCAAAATTGAAATCCAAGCATACTCGAAGTCTAATGCACTTTTTCTTATAAGGGGTGACAATCACGTAAAATACGGCATGAAATGATAAGTTTTAATGTTTTTCCTATGATTTTTCTAATGCTAATGAAGTTTGTTCACAGTGTATTATTTCAATGAAAAATAAGCTAATAAACAAATAATACAGGCTTTTCTTTCCCTTTTAAAAAAAAAAAAAAAATGAATGATCCATGTAGACAACGCGAAAAAAAAAATCTGATATCCATGTCACAGTGTCACGCACTTGGCATCAACCATGGATTTCAATAACATAAGGAAAAATTAATTTGTGGCATTCAACCTCAACTGCACAATCCAACCTACAAAGGAAGGGAAAAGAACTTTGTTCCACTCATCTAAGAATCCACATTCGTAGTGTAGTACATAACTATCTTATCCAAAATATCTCACCTCCAAGCACACCACGTACAAACAAGGTTAAAGAATAAAAAGAAGAAGACATAACTATCTTATCCAAAATATCTCACCTCCAAGCACACTATGTACAAGCAAGGTTAAAGAATAAAAAGAAGAAGAAGAAGAAGAAGAAGAAGAAGAAGAAGAAGTTTTCATGGCGACGACAATAAGGAATTAGACGACGACACAGAAACTGACGTAGAAGGACTAACGCGAGAGGAAGTACCATCTGGCGAATTCCGACATACTGGGCAAGTGGCGTTCATTTTGAGCCACTCATCAACACAATTAGCATGGAAATAGTGGTTGCATTCCGGTATGGTCCTTAGTGTTTCCTTAGGCTGATATTCGGATAGACAAATTGGGCAAGTGTTGTCACTAGGCTTGGGCAATCGCTTACTTTCACCGAGCTCGATCTTTGGGAATGACTCAATGGTTGGCCTATCGAAGCCCAATAGCACAACTACCGGCTCCGGTGTGTCTGCACTAGCGTTGTCCGAGTAGGGCCGGCGGCGGCGCCCACAAGCTCGTATCCTGCCGCAAATGTAGCTTGCTAGGCCAATGATGCATATGAGTCCCGGTATGCCAACGCCTACGGTAATGCCATACTTTGCACCTCTTGAAAGACCTAAAAATCCACACATTTGAATTGCAAATTATTAGTTCCATTGTTCCAGTAGTACAGGGTGCTAAACTAAAGCGTTGAAATAACTAGTGTCTAACGAACGAGATTCAAATTGATACTCTCTTTCTCCTAGGAAGAGAGGGAGATTCGTTTGTTTTGTTTTTTGATTTTTTTTAATAGTTTTTGAAGAGTTTTCAAGTCATTTCATAAGTCGGAGGACTATCATTAAGGTCTCGTTCAGTTTGTAAATTTGAGTTTTCAATCCGAATTGAGATGTGATTTTATGTGAGAGTTTTTTACTGTAGTAGAAAAAATTAGATGTGACTTTTGTGAGAGTTTTTAACTGTAATAAAATTAGAATTAAAAACTCAAATTGATAAAATGAACGAGACCTGAAAGAGTAAGACAATGACTATTCCCATTAACTATCTCTTATATTAAGAAAGGCAGCTGAAGTTTGAAACTAGATTGAGAGTTCAGACAATTCTAAAATTTTTTCCAACCAACCAACCAACTATATACATATGTTAAATGTTCTTGGTTGAATCAAATGCAAATTTAATTGTCTCATCTACCCTCGGTGAAGACACTGACACTTCTCCTAATACCAATATGGGAGAATGTTATGATTGAACGAAAGAATTAAATCCTTCATTGGCTTCTTCACTTAATTGGCTAGGTGCTATAGATCTTTTGGGCTTTTTTTTTTTTTTTTTTAATGCTGAATTGATTTTTTAGGCCTTTTAAAAAAAAACCTACTTGGCTTTCATTTAAGGCTTTTTTTTTTTTTGGCATGGGCACCCCCTAAACTTTATAAGTTTAGTAAATTGGACCTTTTACTTTTTTTTTTGGTAATTTACTCCTTAAATTTTAAAAAATTTTACAATATTAATTAAATTGAAAACAAAGTTAAAAATTTAGACGGTATACACTTTATGAATGAAAAATTTAGACAGATAATTCTCGTCTTTTTGCATCGAATTGAACCCTTTATACACTTCATGAATGAATTTTTTAAAATTGGAGAACCTCTAATTTTTCTCCCAAAATGGTTAACTGATAATTTCAAAAAAATGATCGCTCGTGATGCATATATGAAGATCAATTCGATGCAAAAATATATTAATTACCCTCATTAAGCACTCATGTTGAAGATACTATCTAAATTTTTAATTTCGTTTTCAATTTGACCAACATTGTAATAAATTTCAAAATTTAAGGGGTGAATTGTCAAGAAAAATGTTAAGAAACTAATTTACCAAACTCATAAAGTTGAGAGGGTGTCCATACAAAATAGCCTTCATTTAAAGAGAAACAACACTAAAGACACCCGTTTGATCATTACGTTAACACAATTTTGTCTTAATTTTATAAACTTTGATGTAAAATATTTAAATACGAACAAACAATCTAAGCCCGTTGATTTACTTAGTACGTTTTATCTAGCCTTTTATAAAGATAAGTTTTTTTTTTAATCATTAGTGTGTAAGTTATAGTTGTATTTATCCAAGAATCACTAGAGTTCGTTAGTTTCATATACAAACTCAAATTATTAATTCTGCTATAATATTTTTCTCTCATAAAAAATTTAAATATCAAATAAATAAATTAAGAATTATGATTTGAGTATACATTTCAAACGACCCTTAAATAATTTTTACATCCTAAATATAGTTGGGATCATTCTCTAATGCACGAGGAAGGATATCTTCGTCAAGTTTAACTAACTAAAGGAGTGTGTTTGTAATCTAGACAAGACACGTAGGATCAAAGTGTTTTGAACCCCGTTTATTTTATCAATTTGAGTTTTATTACAATACAAAATTTTTAGACACAGTCACATCTAAATTTTTTACTATAATAAAAAATTTTCATATAAAATCATATCTTAACTCAAATTAAAAACTCATATCAGTGAACTAAACGACATTGTTTTGTTTATCCTTTTCTTCGTGGACGAACGACACCCCTTGGACTATATGGAATAACAACTACCATGATATTGACGACAAAAGTCTAGTCTTACACACACAAAATATTTCACTAGGTCCGTATCATATCAGCCATCTCACGTGGCAACTGTTTATTGGTCAGAAGTCCTCATCTGCGATTGACTTGTGAAAGCGATTTCGCATGACACGTTCTCAAGAGGTGAGCTGAGGTACTGTGCGCACTGGATCCCTCCCCCTCTCTACTAATTAATTTGACTTTTGAACAGACACAGTCACTTTGACTTCGTTAAACACTGGCACCGAAACGCACCGTTTTGCAAGACCACAGCGGAAAAGGCAAAAAAAGGAAAGGAAGAAGAATTCGGAACGTACCGGTACTAGACCCTTTTGAAGAAAGGAAGCATCCGATTTCCGACGTCGAACTGCTCCGAAACCCGCACTCTCCGTCGCGTGCGAGGCACTCGCGGCAGTCCGGGTCGCTCCACGTTAGCCGGACACTGTTACTGAGATCCGAAAACCGGTTCGTCAACCAAGAAACCGATTGGAGCGACACCGCGACCTGAGCGATCCCCATCACCAAGCAACCATCCACCGTTGCCGGCGCCGGCGCCGGCGAATCAGAATTCAACGACGAACTCGGCGGCGGAGCCGATTGGGAGTTCATCAGGAAGGCCGTTGGCATGGCGACGACCGTACGGTCTTCGCCACCTCCGAGGCAGGAAATAGGGCTGACGAAATGGTAATACAGCGTCGCCGCTTTCGACGAGCAATTGAGGAACGTGTAGCTTTCCATGTCTTCGATCGCGAAAGTTTCGCTCGTGAAATTGTTGAATTCCTTGTTCAAGTACCGTCTCGGGAGGCAATCGTCCGGATCGTTGATCGAAATCGACTGTTCTTCGTATTTTATGCTGTCGACGGAGAACTCCGATCCGGAACCGAATCTGATCACCGTTTGGTTCCGTTTGTTGCAGGCGAGATCGAACCGGCCGGTCCGGCCGTCGTAGGCGCAGCGAGAGGACTGGTGGTTTTTTAGCCGGAAGGGGAAGTGAACCTCTAATGAGCCGTCGCATCTCGCAGTCCGGCAGATCGTGATATTCGCAGTAACGCGAAGAGTGAAGAAGAAGAACGAGATCGAGAAGAGAAATGTTTTGAAGGAAGACATTTTTGGTTTTTGAAGTTTGATGAAAACTACTACTACAAATAAGTTTTTGTTTTTGTTTATGGTTTTTGGTCCAAACTCCAAACCAGAGGGAGGGATAGCGAGTTGGGTGGGATTTTTGAAGGCGCTGTGCTAACCACAATTGGGAGAATTTTTTACTAATAAAATGCTGACAATTAAGCGATTAAATACTTTAGGAGGAAATAAGCATCAACTATAAGAAGAAATGATATATATATATATATATATATTTATATGTGTGTATGGACTCATTTATCAAACCTTTCCATTTTGAGTGGGTGTAATAAGAATATAATTTATTAATTATTATAATTTTTTTAATTAATTATTCAATTTATTATAACTGTTAAATTAAAATCTTAATGTTGAATTAATGACATATATATATATATATATATATGTGTGTGTGTGTGTTTTGCATGTATGGGTGGTCTCTTGGCATGCATGTGAAAGAGTACTAATTTGTGTTGAGGTTTGCTTACATGTCACATTCAAATGTGACAAAAAAATGCATTGGAAGTCAAGAGCAAGCGTTTGGCTTTGCTATGTGAATTCAAAAGTATATTAAAGCTCACACGAAATTGTTTTCTTTACAATAGACAGACTTTTACTCGGTTTTGCTTACGACTGGAAATGTGACGGGAGGAAAGAAGTTTAGGGAGAAAATACTAGTTTGTCTTGACCGGAAGAGAGAGAGGAAAAACAAATTTACTGTAGAATGTGAATATAATATTGTCTCATTCAATTCACGGATTCGAGTTTTCAATTCGAACTGATATGTGATTTTATGTGAGAGCTTTTTACTGTAACATAAAAGTTAAATGTGACTTTTTATGAGAACTTTTAACTATAGCAAAATTAAAATTAAAAACTCAAATTGATAAAATAAACGATGCATATATATACATATTCTACTTGTTCTGGTTTGAAACCATGTATGTATGTCGCTCTATCAGTTTAATATACTTTATATATATGGATTGATTACAAACATTCCTCCTAAATTATGATTCATGTAATAATTTGTTCCTAGATCTTCACAAGCAACACTCGTCTCTCTTGAACTATTAATTACTAATAAAAATACTTATTTCATCAGTTTTCTGATAGAAAAGTGGCTCATATTGCATAATTTTGAAGGTATTTTAGAAATCCCACATGTTCAATAAGAAAATACTACAAATTATAAATTAAAACTTTATAAGTAATTTTCTTTTAATTAATTATTTAGAAGACTAAAATTTAAAAATTTTGTTTTATTGTTTGAGTTTATTTATTATCATATTATATTAAAATTAAAATTTATTTTCAAAAGATATAAATTCAAGAAAAATAATTGTGCACCCAGTTGTTTACCAATAATCAATATTTATGTGAGATGTAGTGATTCCATTAGAAACACTAACAAAATGAGCAGTTTTGTTAATAATTCATAGTTCGAAGTGAACATGTGTTACATTTTAAAAAGCGGGATACAAGTGTTACATGGATAGCTCAAGAGCAATTTTTGTAATTAATCTTATATATGTGCGTATATTTTAATGTGATTCTGATTGTATACTGCTGGTAGGAACTCCTACCTTAGAAAGCTTGAAAGATAAAACAAAAGTAGTCGCAACGGGAGAAAATCCCATACTTCACTGTAAGCAAATTTTGTTGGTGAGGTAGAAAAATGTACTTTTCACTTGGACCATATGAATGTTCAAATATGATATAAGCCATATGACTCTTCTATTTATACATAGGGAAAATACAACAAATGGCATATTTTATACTTCCTACTAAATATACTATTTCCCATGTAATCCTTTATATATATACGTATACACATGTATATATGACGTTCAAATTATTAACAGCCACGACCTTGTGTATTGATTCTAATTTATTTCTTATGCAAAATTATCATGAAGCTAAGAACTTTATGATTCCCATCAATTAATTTTATTTCTTCATCAGCTCTGCATTAATAAGGTTTAGTCCCACCTAGAAAGTTAATCACAATCGCATAAACATATTTGGCCACATACTTGATCTGGTCCCCAAGGATATCAAAGAACGTTATATTCTTTCAAAATTCCAACTGTCCCTGTTTGTTTGTGGGACAAATAGAAACTTCGATGTTACAAAATTTATGTCATTGCCCGCTTGCATGTTTCTCATTCTTTCTTAGCTTGATCTACTTTCATGATTTGAACAAAAACGTTCAGCTTTAATTTGCCCTATTTTTTTCCCATCTCAAAACTAAAAAAAAAAAAAAAAAAGAGGTTATTTTCAGCTTGTTTTATGTGTTGTGGTTGTTGAAAAAATCAGAGTAAGGAAGACTTCTTTCTAAAATGTGGAACAAAACTGAAAATGGTACTATAAAAGTAACCATTAAAACCACACCCATATTCTAAAATATTGTAATTTTTTAGTCCTTATAATTACAATATGCTAATTGCTAAAAAAAATACAGTATAATTCTAATGGCGTACACTTTACTGCCTAATTGCTTTAATTTGAACGTTTATTAAACAATTTTCCTCTTTTTGGGGTACTTGTGCTTATTATATACGTTGTTGATTATTAATTTTCCTCAAGAAGAATTTTAATGAAGAAATTAACAGGATTGGAAAATTATTAGGGCAAAAAATAGTCTCACGGACGCATGACTTCTACTATTTACCACGTACGTCATTTTTGAAAAACTATGCACATGCATGCACGGATAGTCAAAACTTATCTATTGTGAGGACCGGCTCAACATTAGGCCATTTAGAGGCAATTGCGCCTAAGGTAATATTTAAAGTCAAGGCTCCTAATTAAGTTTTTTATTGTACTAATTGATTTTTAGACCTATTTAGTTCGCTGATTCGAGTTGAGATATGACTTTATGTGAGATATTTTTATTGTAGTAAAAAAATTAGATGTGATTGCTTCTAAAAGCCTTTTATTGTAACAAAATTCAAATTCTAAACTCAAATTGGTGAAATGAACGGGACCTTTATGTGTTCTTTGCATTAGAATTTGGAGAAGAAAGTGTCATTGGACATAACCATTCTTGGAAGTTTAACAACAATAACCTAATTTTAGGCACTCTTAAATGTTTTCTCTAGATGATTATTCCAAATGATTCTTTTCTAAAATTGAAAAATTAGGTAAAGGGTCTTTTTTGGACAAATTTTAATAAATGGCCTAAATTTCAAAATTTTAGTATGACCCATTTTCTATTTTTCTAAAGGAAAATAACCATTTTTTGTAATAGTTAACTAGTGACAAATCATCAGTGATAAACTGGTTAATTAGTGATAAATCATCATGTTAATTAGTAATAAATTAAGTTAATAAAAAATCAGCTACCTAATTTCAAAAAACTTTGGCCATTTATTAGAAGAAAACGTAAAAAAATTGTTATTGATTACTCTTAAATTCCAAAAAATATAAAACTACTAACTTTTAAGCACTCTTTTCTATGATATATCATGCGACTATATTTTCTTTTCTTTTCTCTTCTAAAGAAAATAAATAAAATACTCTACTTGTGCATCCCCCTTCAAATATTTCATAACCTCCTCTTAAAACCTCACCACACCTAAAATTCCCCCGGTGCCACTAGACGAATTTTATATACGATATGATTAATTAGAACAATGGAGGACTAATCAATAAAACAAAAACAAAAAAAAACCAAAAAACGTCGACATCTAAGTCGTCTGAATCTCACTTTTTGGCCACTAACGTTTGTTTTAAAATATGATGTTGTGGCCTGAACAAGGATTTCTGAAGTCAAATATTGCAGCTTGTATAATTTAATTAGTACACACAAAAAATTTGTTGTGTTCTCATTGGCAATTAATGGGCAGCTGAAGAAATCTGGAAAATTGCATACTTTAGCCTCTTGTCGATACCAAAGGCGTCGGAACTCGTTCACATCAAAATTGGCCATTTTGGGGGATACATATACATTATACAGGCCGTCCATATGGCTTTCACATCAGCCTTTTCTTTTCCAAATATAAAATTGACCATGTAAACAACTGTTAATAAGAATTAGACAACGTCTTAACTCTTAACTTTATGTCCCAACGAGTAACAATTAATTGTAGAATAAAATCAAACAAAAAAAGAACAAATACAATACTTATAGATTGTGTTTAGAATTGATCCTGTTTTTATTTTTCACATTTTTTGAGGGAAAAAAAACGTTTTTAAAACGGCGTTTGGCGTAATAAATATAAAAAACAGAAATGAAAATGATTTTTTGGTTTAGTGTAAAATGAGAGAGAAATGAAAAATGACTTTTAGTCATTTTTCATTTTTTGTTTTCGTTTTCTCCTATCTTGAGCAGAGAGAGAGAGAAAGAGACATTAATGAGTTTTTTTTTACATTGAAAATAATTTTTTGATAAAACTACCAAACGCATTTTTAAAAATAATTCATGTCTTAAGATTGAAAACGTTTTCATTTTTATTTTCATACAAAAAAACAAAATTATTTTGGATTGAGAACGCACTCATAATAGTTCACTTTTATAATAAAAAGCTACGTCCACTTTTTAGGCTTTACATAAAATACAATGAATACAAATTAATTTACAAGAGAAAATCATACACCTCTGAATTCTCTGTAGTTTTTTAACCTCTCCGATTAACCATAAATACACCGCACCTCTTTTTTTTTTTTTTTAAGAAAGAAAGAAAGAAACTAGGCCAATTGAATTTACAAGGTCGATCTGCGTACTATCTTTGCTGAAGACAATATTAAACTCCATAATTTAACAACAACCAAAGGTCAAAATCAACCATATAATAAAGTAGGATGAGGTTTAAGTTTGGGGGGTTTGATCCGCATTTGTATAAATAGTATGTAAATTTAATTAGGATCCTAATTTTCTTTTTTTTGAAAGGTAACTGTCAAACGGTGCAAACTATAATACTACAATGAAATCAGTATACGTATTAGTACTATTGGAAGAAGTGCATATAGATCTTGAAAAATTTTTAGTGGACGCTTTAGTTTATAGATTCATAATCATGATGTAGAATCATTTTACGTGTATTTTTTATGAAAAAAATACTGTAACGAATCACTAATCTACCAATCAAACGCACCATAAAATTATTCGTGCTAGCTTAAATTAGCTATTTCAGTAGAGTACAAACGCATATATATATATATATATATATATAATAAATGTTTCGATTATAGATCCTTCTTCACATTATCGGAGGAAACTTCTCTAGCGACTAGCATCTAGCAGTATAACTACCTTGCCGGATCAGGTGGCATTTAAGTTGACAATTGAAGCACAAAAATCCTATTATTCCAAGACCACTTACGAAATAAAGGGCATATTGGGTTCCCTTGGAAAGACCTAATAAATAAGAAAAAAATTGCACAAGTTTATTAAGTACGTAGTTGGTTATTTAAGTACTATATGGTAGAAGGAAATAATTGGGGATATTAATCATAATCATTGTGCAATTTAATATTTGTTATGAAGTCATTATCATCATTTTGTTATACATGACCGGTCAAATTTGATTTAAAAAATAACGTAATAACGAAAATGGGTGGTTTTGAAGAGCTACAGTGACTGAAGATTTTTTTTTTTAATTTATAAAAAAGGAAGTGTAAAGACAAAATGTATGGAGTACAAAATTAATTGATTGTGGAGTAAAATGTTTATTATTTAAAAGAAAAAAGAAGTTAATAAATATAATTAGTAGTGACTATAGAGAAGTAGCAATTTGCAATTAACAATATAGTAAATCAACAACTACTTAAATACTCTTGAATTCTAATAAGCAACGCGTTTACATGCCGAAAACAATTTGGTTTATGGATTCAAACTATGTGATTAAAATTATTTTCGATTTACGTATATTTTTTGTAAGAGAAAATACTGTAACGAACCATAATTCGAATCAAGGAACGAATCTAAGTACCAAACGGAAGATTAATATATGTTACATTAGATGTGCTATTTAAATGACGATCAACCTTTAAAACTGATTTCATTCACCCCCTCCCCTCCTCTCTCTTTGCTGAAAAACCACTTTTTGTTTTTTTTTGTTAAAAGTGATGACCACAAATAATATCACTTCACAAGTGACTAGAGTACTCTTCATGTAAAACTTTACGAGATTCCTTCTCTTTCTGAATTTTCTTTCTCTAGTTACTTCTCTCTGTACAAGTTTATTTGTATTATCGTAGACAAGTGACTTGTTTACTGAGCACCACTCATTTGACCAGAGTATTCTTCTTGTAAAACTTTACGAGATTCATTCTCTTTCTAGATTCTCTTTCTCTATAATCTTCTATCTACAAGTTTATTTGTATCAACGTCTGCAAGTGACTTATTCACTGAGCAACACTCGTTTTTAATGTCCACTCATCTTTAATATGCAAATTTATTAACGCAGACCGTCTTCTTCCAAAGAAAAAAATCCAAAAGCCCAACGCAATATGCGTGTATAAATCAGGAAGTATACGCCCAAAACGCAGTAAGGTTGAGTAAATAAAAACACTGCAAAAAATTTGTCAAAAAACTGATCTGCATTCAATTCTGTCGCAGCTATTTGTTGCAACAAAATCTGAAACAGATTTCCAAATATGTGATCCTCCAAACTGATACTCATAGCTTCTAATATATCTTTTGCACTTTTCTTGCGTCTTTTAAGGAGAAATATGATCTTCCAAATCGTTCAAGATCAAATCCTTATTTAAACCAATCTCAATCTACTATTTAAAATATATGATTTTATTTAAATCAGAATTACTGATCTAAGCCGGAAGCTTGGACTCCAAGACTTGCCCAATTACCGAAATTAAGCTGCATAAAATGTTGTTGATAATCTCCATCAAATCCTGTAACCAAACTTGTATCATAATTTCTCATCTCAAAGTCAAACATTCCATATTTCCACATTCCTATTCCAAAGTCAAACCTTTCTGAAAATATTTCTTGAATTACAATTGTCATAAAAATGCCAATTAACCTAAAAATCCTAAAAAGCTTAAAATTTTCATGAATCAATTTAACGAAAGAATTTGAATTTGTGAGCACAGATCTGACCTCATCCTTTGGGCCTGTTTGTTTGCGTTTTCGTTTTCGTTTTTCACGGTTTTCAAAGCAAAAAAATGAAAACGGGTGTTAAAAACGTGTTTGGTGCAATTTTTTTTAAAAAACAAAACCAAAAACGTTTTTGTCTTCTTGTGGAAATTAGAAAACGAAAAAAAGGTGTTTTCATTTTCTCGTTTTCGTTTTCTGTTTTCTGAAAAACGGATTTCACTTTTTTTTTTCTTTTTCATTTTCTTCCCTCTTTTTAAAAACCGTTTTTGTATTATATATGTTTATTTAATATATTTATTTAATATATTATTATTTAATATATTTAATAATATTATTTATATAATATATTTAATAATATTATTTATTTAATATATTTAATTTTCAAAGCAAAAAAATGAAAACGGGTGTTAAAAACGTGTTTGGTGCAATTTTTTTTAAAAAACAAAACCAAAAACGTTTTTATCTTTTTGTGGAAATCAGAAAACGAAAAAAATGTGTTTTCATTTTCTCGTTTTCGTTTTCTGTTTTCTGAAAAATGGATTTCACTTCTTTTTTTTTTCATTTTCTTCCCTCTTTTCTGAAACCATTTTTGTATTATATATGTTTATTTAATATATTTAATAATATTATTTATTTAATATATTATTATTTAATATATTATTACATGTTTTCAAAAATTAAACCACCAAACGCAGTTTCAGTTTTTTTTAAAACTGAAATCAATCTCTAAATAAAACTACCAAACGCATTTTTAGAAATAATTCAAAAATAAAACTAAAAACATTTTCATTTTCATTTTCGTACAGAAAATAAAAACGTTTTGGAACCAATTCCAAACGCACCCTTTATTTCCTCGGTACTCTTACTAGTCTTCAATGTCTGATCAACTATTTCGTGACATATATTGATGAAATCAAGGGATTTGGATTCTTCGGACATGTTCTAACAAACTGGTGAAACCAATAATTTTTTTTTTCATTTTTAATAAATAAACCATTTAAAAGTTGGTTGCTTATTCTTATGTATTTTTGTTTTCTAACGACATTAAAAAACATGAAACTCAAAACGACAAGTATACGAAAAAGAATCACAATAAAAAACGACGACAAAGAAAAGCGACAAGACGTGGAAACATTAGAAAAAGGGAAAACAACCTGAAGACAGCATTAGTTGGAAAAGCGATAATGACGGGAATACAACAACCTCACAAAGAATATTAATCCATGAAGCGACATAAGGAAAACGATACAATCACCTAAAATACTTGAAGAAGAAGAAGAAGAAGAAGTGAAACTGGAAAAGACCTGAAGGGAAGAAAAGAGACCTGAAAAACGACATAAATCTGAAAAAAGACTAACAAACAACGACAAAACTTCAACGATAACATTTTAATCCTGTTTGTTATACTGGTTTAGTTCAATTAAACTCAGTTTGAATGGTGGGCACCGTTTGAACTCATATTTTATAAACACGTACTCTGAATTATATTTCCTATTTGAACTGAGCTAAACTATCTAACTTAGAATTTAACTCTCCTCTTAAGTTCACAAGTTCAACTAATTATTAAACAATAAAAAAGCGATCACTTTGCATTTTACACCAACCAAACATAGTTTAATTTTTTTTAATTCAAATAAAAAAACTAAATCAATAAAATTTGAATCAGCGAACCAAACGGGGCTTAAAAATGACACCACTTTATACAAAAAAATACAGTGACATGAGGGATGACGACAACATAAAAAATGACATGACTCCGAGAAACAACAATGTTAAAGAAAAAAAATAAAAAAACCTTCACATCCAAAAACAAAAGCAAAAAAAAAAAAAAAGCCAACAAATATTGGGACATAAAGGCTATATTTGGAGTTGTTTTTGTTTTTCACATTTTTTGAGAAAGAAAAAATGAAAACGGAAAAGAAACGGCGTTTGACATAATTAAAGATAAAAAATGGAAATGAAAACGATATTTTAGTTTAGTGTACATTTTTCTTCTCTCTCGAGCATAGAGAAAAACATTAATGGATTTTTTATACTAAAAATAATCTCTTGATAAAACTACCAAACGTATTTTCAAAAATAATTTATGTTTGAGATTGAAAATATTTTCATATAAAAAATAAAATCATTTTAAAATGAGTTTCAAAGGCACTAAAAAGTTGAAAATAAAATAAAAAAGAGAACCTCTAGAAAAACGACGAAGAATATAAGGAAAGGCAACTGAAAGTTGAGAGAATGAGAAAAAAGATAGAAATTAAGACTTCGTTCATTTCACTGATTTGAGTTTTGTTACAGTAAAAAGTTCTCAGAAACAATCATATTTAATTTTTTTAATATAATACAAAATTCTCATATAAAGTCACATTTAAACTCGAATTAAAAATTTGAATCAACGAATTAAACAGGTCCTAAAAGAACCTAAAAAGGTAAGTTAATTTATACCAAAAAGGCAACTTAATTATTATTTTATTTTTCTTGAAGGTAGCTGAATTATTTTAGTTATGTTTATTGTATGGACTTTTTTTAATACTCCTCCATATATTACTGTACTTCAGCCCTCAGATGTGGAATCCAAGTTTATATATAAAAAAAAAAATCCCTCAATAACATAATAAAACACACAATAAAAAGAATCATAAAGTCCTAAAAACAAAATCATAAAATGAAAAACTAGGAGAAAACCTTGTTCGAAAAAGAAAAGAACATTAGGAGCAACAACACTATAGTTAGTGATTATACAGAGCATAATCCAAAATGAATAAATAAAAAAATTACACAATTGGAGGGAAATAATTTGGGTATTTGATTTTGGAGACAAAACACATTCTAGACCTCCATATGGCGGGAAAATGTCCTTATAGTCCTCGTCGTGCGTATAAAAACCCTAGCCCTCTTTCCTCACTCTCTTCCCTCAACGTCTCTCTCCATCTCTCTCTCCTCCGAATCCTTCATTTTCCTTCCATTCTCGCTCGCTTCAACAATTTCTTCAACCTTTGAGCTTCCTACAATGTCCGCGCTACAAAATTAGGTAAATTTTTCTCTTTTTCCCGTCATGGATTCTAGGGTTTCCTGTTCCGGGACATTAGGTTTCCGTTTTCATTTTTCTTTTACGGAATTTGATGGGATTGTGGCTAATATTCTGAATTCGTTTGATTGTGTCTCAGATTTTGAGCTTGGAAATCAGATTTAAGCGATTCTCTGGTTTTTTCTTGAATTTTTCGTCGGAAAAATGACTGGTGCGTTTGATGACGAAGTTGAGCAGACAGTTTCGATCCAGGAGTACCTTGATGACGTTGAAGAACAAGAGCTGGTAGGAATTTTTCTGTGTATAACTACTTTGCTTTGTAGTTGAGGAATTTAAGATGGATAACTTTATAGCTTTTTGTAGTTCCTGATTGTTTGGTGTGACGATACTTGAATGTTGAAAGAGATATATTCAATTAGGAGTTGGGGATTTATATTTCTCATTTATTTTTTCACTCAATGTTAGAATAACTATTTCAACTAGGGGGAATATATTAAGCATTTCTTATTCTTAAGTTAGGTTTTGCTTAATTCCATTTCACAAGTTGATCATTTACCTTGAAAGTTTAAGTAAATTTTTCACCGTGACAACAATCTGAGTGTATTTTTAGGAAATTTGCCAATTCAGAACGGTTGTTTTGAATCAATTGCTGATTGCGTCATGACTTCCTGATTTAACATGGTGCTTATTCTATTTTATTGTATCTTACTTTCTCTGTTCTGTTTCGATTCATCGTATTTGTAGGAAGCGGATTTGGTTTTGGGAGGTGATGAAGGCAAGGAGTGTACTTATAATAATGGTTACATGAAGCGACAAGCAATTTTCTCATGCCTGACTTGCACCCCTGATGGAAATGCTGGAGTTTGTACTGCCTGCAGCTTGTCTTGCCATGACGGCCATGAGGTATGATTTTATTATTATCCTTTTTCAGCAAAAGTCTTCTGTTAATGACGACACAATTAATGATTAGTATAATCACCTAAGGACATTAGGTTCTTAATCATTACTTTTTGTTAGATTAGTATCATCACTTAAGGACGTTAGGTTCTTGATCAATTAATGACTAGTAGCTTTGTTATTAAGTTATTTACAGGACTCTAGAAAAGAAAATTGTACTTATCAAGTTACATACTTTATATTTGTCTACTTGCTGATGTTATTACGTTACTTTACCCAGCATGAAACTATTGTGTCTTGAATCTTGATTTATCAATATTGTTTCATTATTAGTAAGTGTAATTTTTTATTTTTATTTTTATTTTATCTTATGGTGGTTTTCATTATTGCTATTTGCACCAGATTGTGGAACTATGGACCAAGAGAAACTTTAGATGTGATTGTGGGAATTCCAAATTCGGAGAGTTCTTCTGCAAGCTTTCCCCAAATAAAGATGTAGAAAATTTAGAGAATTTGTACAATCATAATTTTAAAGGTTTATACTGTACTTGTGGTCGCCCTTATCCTGATCCAGATGCTGAAGAACAAGTAGAGATGATACAGTGTTGTGTATGTGAAGATTGGTTCCACGAAGAGCATCTTGGTCTTGAATCATCTGATGAGGTTTGTAGTCGGGGCTGTTCCCAGAGGTTTTCAGCTATTTTTATCATTTAATCCATTTTTCTTTTCTTCTAAACTCTTAACTAATCATGGTGAGGTTCCTATCTGAAGGGCTAAGTCTATTCTTTCTGTTAAGATAAGTTATCAACCTGTAAATGTATGATAAAATTCACGCTGATGTTGTTGTTCAACTTGGAGAGTTGAATATTTGACAACTCTCTTATTCATCCTTCTTCAACAAAATTATTTCAATTGAATAGTCGGTAGAATTTGTAATTTGTCTGCGTTGTTTGTTTGCCCTAGGCCATTCAATTTGTTGAGTCTCACCCTTAGTCTACTTATTGGTGTGTGTGATAACTGATGTTACTGCATTGATTTAACTCGCAAGACGTCCATTATTGGCTGCAACTAAATATCGTTAGACTTGGAACTGTTGTAATGAAACAATAGAAGTTCTGCTTGAATTGCAAAAGAAAAAAAAAAATTGTATTAGCTACCTTGTCTTTTGAAGTTGTATCGGTACTTTCTTCAAGGCTGGTGCTAATCATCTGAATTGTTAATTTGTACAAATCCTTTATTATGCTGGTGCTAACCATTTTAATTGTTAATTTGTACAAATCCTTTAATGTACGGCAGGTTCCAAGAGATGAGGAAGGAGAACCTCTGTACGAGGACTTTATATGTGGGGCATGCTCAGCTGTTTGTTCTTTTCTAAGGCTATATCCTCAAGCAATATGGACAGCAGAGAGGCAGCACGCTGCTACTGGTGCTGCAAGCAAAGATAAGAATGTCATGGAAGATACACAATCGGCTTGTGGATCTGGAAAGTTGGAGAATGATATTTCTCTTCCTGAGAAGGATCATGTACATAATAATGCCAACTCTAAATCTGTACCTTGTCGGAAGGGCTTGCCACTTGAAGAAATCCCAGAAAAGGATTCGACTTTGAGGCAGGGCACTACAGATGCCATTCCACATGCTACCTGTGTTCTTGGTGTTGATCTGGTGGTTGCTTGCCCTAATTTAGAGAGGAAGCCGATGTTTCTTTCAAAGAATTGGAGGGATGCCCTCTGCAGCTGTGAAAGATGCAGTGATTATTACAGAGAGAAGGGCATCAGTTTTCTTCTCGACAAGGAGGACAGCATTGCGGAGTATGAGAAAATAGCAAAGCAGAAGAGGGAGGAAAAATTGCTGCAACAAGAGGGGGATGAGTTAAATCTTCTGAATAAACTTGGTCATGTAGAGAAAATGGAAATTCTGAATGGAATTGCAGATATGAAAGATGAGATTCGTTCCTTCCTGGTATGTCCTTGTTGATCTAAATTTCCCCCCTGGTATGTGTAGTGCGTTTACTGTACAGAATGCTAAAGATGCTCATGTCAGTATTTCTGTTCAATTGATTATATGGTTTGCTCAAATATTAATTTTATTCTTTTGCAGGAATCTTTTGATTCATCGAAACCAATCACTTCTGCTGATGTCCACCAGGTTTTTGAAAATCTAGCAAAGAAGCGCAGGCGTGTATAGTAAGTTATTGTAGGATATTTGCTGCCGTTGCATGCATGTTTTAATTGCAACCTTCAATACTTAAATCTAGATTTCAGAAACTTCCGAAAGGCAGTTCATGTTCAAGGCTTTTCTAAAGTACAATGTTTTTCTATACTATTTGGACTTATTAAGGACTATAACTGCTGGACATGAAGTATTTCTGTAGTAGCTAATGGATCTGAGTGATCTTCTGGCCACTCCTTTGTCTAGCTGATGGCTAGGTGTCTTAACATTCACGTGACACGTGCAATAGAATGATTGTTGCGTAATATTTACGATACATAATACATAAATCATGCTTGATTATGCGTATGTTTGTAGAAGTTTATGCATCCGCACATGCTTAGGTTGACTCTTATGGGAAAGGGTCCATGCAACTAACTGTGCATGCTTTCTTTTCTTTTTTTGGGTAATGTTTAGTTTGGGCTGAAGTGACATAATAATCGTGGTTGTTGAAATTTTTGAGTAGATCCTCTGACTTGGTTGGTAATGAAATTTTTGCATCAATGTGATTGAAATTAGGGCCAGCAATATGGGTCATGATATGACGATACGATTCGAAAACGACACGAATTTTGCGGGTTAGGGTTGAGAAAAGAGGTTCGGGTCAGAATTGGGTCGACTTGAAATTGATTTGAAATTGATATGAAAAATACGGGTTAATTTTGGGTTGGATTCGCCTAACCTGAACACGATACGAAACTCGTAAAAAACTAAAAAATACATATATTTTTCATTTCATATTTTAAATTTTATTAAGAACCTGTGATATTATGATAGTTATACTTAAAATCTTATACTATTATTTGCTTAATTTCAATGGATGTTATTGTAATTTAGTGTGTTATGAATTTTAAGTTATTTCTAATATGTAAAAAACTAAATAGAAGTATACAATTTTCGTGTCAATTTTGGGTTCAAGGGTCAATTTCGTGTCACGGGTCATTTTCGGGTTGTGTCGTGTCAACTCGTAAAGTGGTCGTGTCGTGTTCGTGTTGTGATTTTTAAAAAATTTCGTGTTACGGGTCGTGTTCGGGTTAATTGTAAATTTAAAAAAAATGATCAAAATACGACACGAACACGACACGTGACACGAATTGTCACTCTTAATTGAAATAGGTTAGAGATTCTCATTAAATAAAGGGTTAGCTAGTTAAGTTAGTTGAATAAATTACCTTTCACTAAACAAGTTTGATAACCATATCAAACATCTCATTTTGCATTCTTGGTGGGCAAATACCATTGTCGAGAGCTAACCGTGATTGGATTTAGTGCCCAGGAAGCATTAGTTCTAACGTTCAATTTCCGTTCAGTGCTTCAATTTCTTGAGGCCACACCCGCGGGCCAAAGACCTAAGATTTACCCGATCCATGTGGAGCTGGCATTTTGCATGGATCTTGTTGATTAGTCGGGGTAAAGTCTTGGGACACTATAGTTATTAAAAAAGCAAAAAGAAAAGAAAAAAGAAAAAACCATTGTTGAGAGCTCAAAATCTTGTATGAAATCAGATGCTGCCTTGCTTGCATCATCTATTTGTTTATATTTATTGCCTTCTTAACTATTGGAGTGGGGCTTCCTAAATCCATTGTCCTGATTTCCTGATTGACTCGGATGATATGAAACCTTTTTTCAACTCTATTTAACCAGCCAAGACAGGAGTAGTAGGTTGTTGTTGGCTCCATAAAGTAAGAGACCATCCATGTGTCCAAAATCTAACACCAGTCTTATTAAATTGCAAACTTAGTCATCTTCCCACCTAAATTTCGGAGACTGTCGGGTTAGCAATATTGTAGCACCGATCAATGAAAGTGAGAGACCATTTATTATTAAATAATTATTTTCTTAATAATTTATTTCTTGGGTATTGGACA